TAATTTGAAGATCCATTGGACTAGTAACCATCCTCAATCAGGAAAAAAGCAACAATGACGTAAACTAGCACCTCAGAACCATCCTCACCTCCTACCATTTTCGTCTCCGATGAGTGCCATCAGCCCCCAACGCCGAACCCACGGTTCTCTTTAATGGGAGGAAGGCTCTGTGCTTGAGACCGCCGCGGTGAGTCAACAGCCTTTACTGTTACTTTTCTGTGTCGTGTAAAGTCAGCCTGAATGATCGCAGATAAAGTTCTTCCTTGATTGGTGCATCTCGTAGACTTTTACTGAACTGTCAACCCATCAAGTCAACAAGGCCAAAAATTATTAAGGGCTAAAAATTAATAAATAATTGGGGGGGGGGGGAAGGCACCGGAGGCATGTGACGCTTCCAATCGGAATTAAATACGCCGCGCTAGAGGCCGCCTTAGAGCGCCGAAGGCATGGCGGCCATGGACAGTGGTACGCATTTTTGGTTGAGCGTGACAGGGATGGGGCTAGTCATGGAGAACTTAGGGACTTTCCGCACTACGAAGCTTTTCAATTTAGTCTCTCAAACGTTTGCACGTGTTATGGCCCTAGGTGTGCATTATATAGTTTATTGCATCGTTCGCCCGCTCGGCAAGTACGAACGTTGCCTGGCGGTGAGAGCCAAGACGACTTTGATTACGAGTGCATGGTGTTCCCGCGTTGATAGGTACACTGCTCTGTAAGACATGCACACTTTCTTGTGTCAGTGAGGTGGAAAACATCCGGCTATATTAAAGGGAATGTTTCGCATTTGGATTTATTGAAACGATCATCAGATATGATGAAATCAGCTTACAAATAACTTAACTTCGCGCACTTTGAAGTGGAAAAGACTTCTTTAAACGACATTGTGTCTCAATTTAGTATATACGCTGCTCAGTATGTCATTGATTGAATCATGGAACGTTCGTATGACAGCACTGCCTTTTAGTTTTCAATATCCCTAGAAGTGGCCCGTAGTGGTGCTGGATGTGTGCCGAACCAAATAGCGTTAAGCACCCGTGTTTTGGTCCTTTCTCGTGGTGTTGTTGCATAATTATCCATGAGTTTAAGATGCTTAACTAAATTGACATGCTCGGCTATTGCACAATTTTTAAGTTACTTGATTACATAAGTTGTTCAGTGCATTTGCGAGGAGCATTATTCACCTAGATAAGACAGTAGCAATAGCCCTTTTCCTCAGATAAAAACCAGGAGAATTGATATATAGGCGGGTTGATATTTCGGCAACATGCCTTTATCGAAACAATAGCCGAAGTGAATTCACTTCTGCCATTGTTTTAATAACTGCATGTTGCTGAAATACCTAGCCATCTACATCTGTATCCTCCCGGCCTTTCTCCGAGGAATAAGACTGTTGCTACTGTCGTATTTATTCGATGACAAGTCTAATTACCGTAATAAATAGGAAGAATGTATAACCTCTTGCATTATGTTGGCCAAAGCGTAATCAGTGTTGGGCATTCGAGCCTGTTATTCGCTTTCTTGCTTCCTCCTGCATCATCGCGACGTCCCATTTATCCGGGGCGGGCTGCATGTGCCAGCCATGGGTGGCCGAGAGGCACCCTGGGGAGAGGGACCCAACGGGGCGCCCAGCGCACGCACCATGGGGCCCTGAGCGGGTTACAGCGGGGCAGTTGCCCCCCCCCCCCCCCCCAGGCGCATGTAGTCCTGCCCCACCGTTTTCCGCTCTCCGGCATTCCATAGTCCCGAAATGATCATTTCGGGTCGAAGGGACCCTAATTCATACAATCACATCACCGAGTTCGAATCATGCATAGCTTGCACAATATCAGTTGAGCTCCAGTCCACGGTCTTTTATCTGGAAATCGTGCTCGCAAATGCCAGATATGAACAGCTCGACAACTGTGTTACATGACCTTGAACGCCGCATGTCCAGTGCAATAGCAGGATCTGAACGACGTTCTTATGGCGTGATGGAAGGTGGGCAAGTGCCTGTTGCCGAGAAGTTGATGGGTTGAAGTCTGAACCAGTGCGTCACACGAATCATAGGATGCTTCCATTCCGAAAGACAAAAAGTGCGGCTCGAAAGGAGCCACTGTGGTAAACGCCATAGGAGAGAAATCAAAGCCATGGCATAACGTTTCGTTGAATGCGCGGAAAAATTGCTTCATTTTCGCATACATTTTTGTCTAAGCAGAGCGATTACAGCTTTCGTAGCATATATTAAACGAACCATTTCACTGATCTTTATTTCAAGTGTTAAAGAACACACGTTGGAAAAATCAAGACAAATGAAATGTATTACTTTCATGGCAGTGATAAGGAAGCCAAATGAGATTACCCCGCAGGGAAGGCTAATTCAAGTCAAAATTCTGAGATGTGCGAAGGATTCCGACAAAACTGGTACCACCGGTAAAATCGTAGGCGTCTGATGTGACAATCAGTAAAAAGCACAACGAAGTTGGGATTTTTCCTTCCGGTAACTCTTCTTGCGTGACACTCGAGCGGCATGCAAATATTTTTGGCTGGATTCGACATCGCACCACATCTTTCAACTCAGCGATGTTTTGTCATTTACAATTGTGATCAACGGCACAATCATGATCAACCATACTCAGTTGTTCTCAGTTATGTTCCACAACACACCATGAACAATTCGCATTTACCAGCACTTGTATCAAATTGAAGGCAGAAGCCAGCTACTTCCATGAAATGCACAGAAATAAAGTGTCAAAAAATGTTTAGAATGGGTTTGTTGTGACTGTGGTGTAGAAAATGCACGTGCTGATATTAACAGGACAGCCACGTGCATGCTTTCTATCAAATTGTTGTTGCGCGCCTGAGGTGCACGTAAGTTTCCGTTAGATCGATGCATGTCATATTTTGTAGGCCATTTGAATATCATATGATGCCTTTTCTCGTCAATTTAGGTAATGAATGACCAATCCAACACAGAGCTTGACTTAAATGCGTAAGATTGCGCATTATCATATGACATCATGATCTGCTGCACACGGCCATGCACTTCTCCGTCGCAGTCTGAAGGCAAGATTTAATCCCGTGCCGTTGGATTCCCCCCTCCCTACAAAAGTTAACAAACGCAGCCGAAGCGTTATAAGGCACATTGGCCACAGGACTTCAAATAAAGCTCAATGTTTCCTCTGAAAGTGCCTCGAAACGCGCAAAGGATGTCAAAAACAATACCACTGCTCAAATAATGTCATGCATTTATTCCAATATCACCTTTCGTGACTGCTTTTAGAGCCACAGGTGACATCTTTCGACAAAAGAAGTCAGTGAAGGGGCAGATCATAGACATCGCCTTTCCTCGAGCCCGTTGGCTGAAACGCGTAAAATCCTCGCAAAAAGAATGTTCTTTTTTTTGCCGTGCAGACACCAAACATCGCGACTGAACCCAGGACGGTTGGTCATGCATGGGGCTGGTCACAGCGACAAGCCATCTCTTAAGCGCATACCAGAGATGATAAACTTCATCCATTCTGTGACGAACATTTCGCGTCCCTATGTGTGCAAATGGCCGAATTGGCGTGACTGGCCTTTGACGTTTTAATGATGTCAGCGTCAAGCAACGTGGAGTACAGACATAATTTCCACGTTTATTCAGTACACCTAAAAGACAAAGACGGTAGCTGACAGTAAGAATGTTCGGGCACCCAGCAATGCTTCACGCCTAAGAACGGTTTTGGTGTCAGTAACGGATATAACAATATGCGGTTGGGGTGTAAATGTTGAGGTGAATGTTGCCCTTGGCTATTAACAGCCATGAAACTTCGGATCAAAACACATGTCTCCCCATAACGCTCCTCAACTCCGCCCTTTTCCATACCGAGGCCTCACGACTTCGACCTTGTTTATACTAAAAAAGGTAATTTTCAAATATGACCACCTCTGATATACACGACGTCGATAGTCGGAAAAGAAGGCTGTAACCGTATGCGAGACGGCTGAACACGTGATACATGCCCGCTACAGCATGCTCGCTTTTGATTGCCTGGTGCCTCACGTGCTAGTGCAGTACTGCTGTGAGCATACGTATGTGTCCTTAAATGTCCTTCATTACAAGCAGTTGCGGTTATCTCTGTTGGTAAGATCGCACTGCTTGGATGAAGGGGTCAGCTCACGTTTTCGGAACGATGGATGCTTGTAGTAATATGCATAAACCTAAATAGCTCTGTAGCTTTGTGAACAAATGTGTTGCACATACTATCCGCCTCATGTGTGTAAAGCACCTTGCTAGTGCAGGTGCTGCAGCCTCGCCCGGGCCGCCTACACTCCACCAGTCACCCGGAGCCTGCAGCACACACAACTGGCAAGTGCTGCAGGTCACGCAAAGTCAATCAACGTGCAGGACTACATCCCAAACACAACGGGCAGCTTTGCCAAGCGTTTTTGATTCCTTATACACCGCGTTAGATGACTTCATCATTACCATCTATGACCATTCCAACTTTGTTTTCTTCGACTTAAAGCTAGTACCACAGTATTTCCCACTGCAACCGTCGCCGATTAAAATACACCACGGGTGTACGGCAGCGAACTGGAATGCCCTGCCTGCGCCAGTGGCAGCCGTGCGGGAGATGTAATCTCGAGCTCCGGAGAGAAGAAAAACACGATGTGCTGAGCTGCTCCCAAATGGTAACCGCGTAGCTTGGTCCTGCAAAAAGCGCGGGGTTCATCTGCTCATCTTATCCAGGTGTGAGTGTAGTTGGTCTCTCTAATGCAATTGTAAGAATAGCTGGTCCTGAGGGCTCACCAGACAGTTTCTAATATTCCTCAAAGCAGACACACTCCTTAAATGTCCTCTACCTCCCGCATCGCTCCGCGACCGGTCCCTGGCGGCTCGGCTGCATCACATCTCACCGAAACGTGCTCCATCCTGACGCAAAAAAACGTTTTAAAAAGCGATCCCCTCCACGGGCGTCGGGCGTCGTCCTGAACGAAGCTGAGAAGTTCGCCCCAGGCGAGGACCGACCTTCAGCGCCCTCTACAAAACTGCGGCCGGTCGACCACCGGCCTGACTGTGTGTCTGGTGGGCAGCTGCGTATCTCCGAAGGCAAGGTAGACTGTGAGCGTCAGTTGCACTGGGTTGGGCCTGGCCGGGCCACGAACGGACAGCGGGCCTTCATAACGACATCAAAGTCAGCCGCGGTCAGTTATACGGTTTCGGAGCGATGCACCTTAACTGGCCTTTCAATTCCACGTCGATAGTCGTCAAGAAGAGCAGAGTTGTGTCCGATTCGGAGAATGGTCGGACTCGTCTTCGGAATCACTCAAATCCCTATCGAGTGTATGTAGAATGGGTTTCTTGGAAAGCTTGGAATATTTAGAGTCCAAACCAGAGCTGAACTCATCCACTTCAACCGGAATAATGAGGGAGTGTTAGTGACGGAAGCGCACCAATGTTCAACTTTCAAAGATACGGAACTTGACGTGATGTTCCAGCATCTTAAGTCACCGGTTTTAAATAGCTGCAATTAGAAACCATGTGGACATGGTTCATACGCATTCTTACAAAAGCGTACCATCTGAGATTCTAAGCTCGCTGTTCTCATGTTACGTAAGAGCTCAGGGTTGATGTGCTCCACCGCCTAATGTTATGTAATGGCCCGGTTTGTGCATAATTTCTGACAAACTTCAGAAGGCATCAGCCAAATTATAACTGATAAATGCACTTGTTGTCCGGAATCTACCACTACCTATCCCGTTATCTCTGAGACAAGAGCCCACGTCCTTTTTGTCGAGGGTTTGAGCGCAATAATTGGTTCCTGTGAGTCTTTTTGCATTTCCCTTTCCGTTAGGCGGATTTTTAGTTAAGATTCGTGCTTTTCGTTGTTTTCGTTCGTTATGTTGTTAACTTCCTGGGTGGTACTCCCCATACTGGCCAGCATTATGGTACGCGCGGGACTGCATTTTTTCAAGAAATATGGCTTCTCTCGTCCGGTTGTACTTTTCTAACTTCCTTGCTTGAACTCTTACTCTTGTAACACTCTTCCTTCTGGCCGTCGGGGTAACTAGAAGAAAAGGCTTTTCAATTATGAGCAATATTATCATGATCCCACGGATTCCTCACCAACTTTAAACGGCCATCACAAGATTCCGAAAGCCCAACATGCGTTAATGCAATTGCAACTCCATTATTTCAAGCCATATGGTTTCCTCTCATGTGGTTGTACTTTTTCAACTACCGCGCTTGAACTCTTACTCTTGCAACATTCTTCCTTCTGGCTGTCTGCGTAGCTAGATGAAATATTATCATGATCTCCCAACGATGTCCTCACCAACGCAAAACGGCAATCACAGGATGCCCAAAACCCAACGTGCATAAATGCAATTATTACAGCTGGTAACTACCATCCGGGCAATTTCTTGTCATCAACCGACGTACTAGGACAGGCTGCAAATGTTGGCGAAAAACATTGGGTCACCTACAATATATGGGCTTTTATGAAACGGAAGTTTTCGTCCTTACATGAGCAGCGAGCTTGACTTGACTGGGATTCCGCAACTAGCCTTCCAACACTCACAGTGTGTCACGCATGCTGGTTCACCGGTCATATTGAAGGGAGGCCTTAGTGTTGTCGCTACACACAGTCTGACCAGTGTAACGATCAGACCCCTTTCATCATGAGTGGAACCATAGAGCCATACACCACACATACCTCGGAACTGTTCGCCAGTGAATGGAAGCGAACTGGTGTGAAGCCACCACGGCGTCCCCACGTGGCCCCCACCCTACATCGTCACTGAGCTATCGGCCGACATCGTCCGTGGGCCCGCCGGAACTTCTCAGCTGCTCACTGTATTCCATCCCCACCCGCGAGAAGCGCTGGTCTATGTGACGCGTAGGCCTTCCTCCGTCGCTACCCGCGAGGAGTCGTTGATTCAAGCATCTGTGAGGAATTAATCCCTTCATGGTAGGAATTCAGTTCGATCCGTGGAAAATTCACAGTCGCCATGTGCTGTCCAAAATACATGGACTATGCAAGATAGAGGAATTAACGTCAATACATGGACCAATTCAGTTCGACCCGTGGAAAATTCACAGGCGCCATGTGCTGTCCAAAATACATTGACTATGCAAGATAGAGGAATTAACGTCAAGACATGAACCAATTCAGTTCGACCCGTGGAAAATTCACAGACACCATGTGCCGTCCAAAATACATGGACTAAGCAAGATAGAGGAATTAACGTCAAAACATAAACCAATTCAGTTCGACCCGTGCAAAATTCACAGGCGCCATGTGCTGTCCAAAGTACATGGACTATGCAAGATAGAGGAATTAAAGTCAAAAATGAACCTGACTACGATGCGTCCTGCCTCATGGAACAAAATTCAGGACGCACACTAGTCATTGACCTGCTATTTTCCCTACAGACTGTTCATTGAAACGCATAGAGAAATACCTAGCAGGGGTCAGAACGTGATTTAATACCACACATTAGCGACATATTTGCATATTTGGTACGTTAGTTACTACGATACGATGCACACAAGAAAGCAGCGCACGACATGTACCAGATCAGAAATAATGTATGAGTAAGATATCTCAACATTCCTGCAGAAGGCCGTTTTCTGTAAGGCTTATCATAAAACACAAAGTTGTAAAACATTTAAAAGGGCCGGGGATCTCATGGAACCGTCGAAGGGACGGCCATTCCTCCTCCGGGCTTATATTTTGTAGAGGCGTCGGCGCGGGGCGGCCAGCCGCCGGCGCGCCATGGCGATACGGTCCAGATTCCGTTGTCCGTCCCAGTGTCCCTCCGGTTGTGTGTGCCTCTGTATCTATGACTGACCGTTTCTACAGTTGTGATGGTTTGCCTCTGACGGGGTCGGCGTTTTTAAAGGGCCGCTACCTGTTGATCGTCCTGGCGCGCATGTCCGGAGCGAGCGTCCGAGCCGGACGTGACGAACAAATACCGTGCTTGCTCATTGAAAAAAGCATCTTGCAGCCCACGGCGGATAGGGTACAACCGTGCGACGCGTTTCTCCACCCTCACTCGGGTCTCATGAAACATCTTTGTTCCTTATGCCCTTGCCTCTTGTTCTCTGTTCCTTGTTAGTCTGTGTCCGGGCTAGCTAATAGGAGCATGAATAAACATGCATGCCAGTGGCCCGTGAGAATCCCTATCACACTTATCTTTTTAAATAAAACGTATAATTTAATGGTTAATTGCAGCCTGTCGCTTTTCGGCAGCAATTGATATTCATGTTGCCTGCTCTTGATGCCGTTACCAGAAGCCATTTTATCTTCGCCCAGTTAACGAGCACTTGGAGAGAAGAGGCGAATCAAAAGCTTTAAGGTTCATTTTGAAGTAGTTAATTAGTGACTCATCTGATAATGCGGCATACAAGTGTTGACGATATCGATGACGCCGGGCTCCAATCTCGGCTGTAGCCGAGACCTCGGGTCGCTGACATGACCACTGCCGACACTGGCGTCACCAAGAAGTACGCTCGATTACGCGCGGTGCTGGTCCTTAACAAATTTGCTTGAGGTCCTGAGTTTTCGACAGTGGAATACTTATCACGATAAATTCTTTTCTATGTCTGCACAGAGGTCTTACAGTTTTACTCATCGCAATTTTTACAAATTTTAAGACGGTCATGGTAAATAAAAGTTTCAACATATATCGCTATGTTGCACTCCAGTGAGGGAACTATCACTCGATAGGGGGTCGCTTTGCCTTACCGACGCGGCCACCCTCCTCGTTCAGTTAATGAGGTTTCCTTTCTGACGTAAGATTATTAAGCATATATAAAGGGAAACAGAGGAGCCACGCAAGCACATCGGATCCCCAGGCTTGGTCTGACCGCGCTTGGCGATGGCCTGGCCTTAGGCCTGTTCTGGCCATCACCGGCCGTGGCCGACTGACACTCCCGACCACCTGCACGCAAAACTCCTGGTCAACTCTAAGGACCCTCCTGACCTGCATAGCGTTTCTGAAAAAGGCCAGCGGCCCTTTAAACATCCAGTGGTCATAAGAAAGTCGAGGACGCCAATGAGTCTTTCACACTCACAGAGGCCCATAACTTCCAATGGACCCCCCATATACACCGGGTCCTGGCCCCTGCTATTTGAAGTGCCCCCGAGTGGTCTTCAGGGGCTCAAGTGGCATGCCCCTACAAACCATCGGACAATGCGATCTTCCGCCAGTGGTACGTTGTGAATCGATAGGTGCAAGGTGCAATGCAACGTAGTGCAAATACTGGATGCGATTACCGCATGTTCTAATTGTCTGCTTCCCATCAGATCAATCTGGGCCATGTTAATGCGATCCTTGCACTGTCTACACCTGATTACTTGAGCGTTTCGCCAATGCCATATTTTGATCGGCAACACTTTCGTTCTGCTCCGCAGCAACAAAGGCACAGCCATGGCACGCGTCGGCAGCCTGGTGGCGACCAACAAGAGCACGCTACAGAAGTTTATTTCGCTGGACTTGCCAGAGGCGAAGTCGAAGGCCATGTATATCTGGATTGACGGCAGCGGCGAGAACCTGCGCGCGAAGACACGCACGCTCGACTTCATCCCGCACAATCCGGCCCAGCTGCCCATTTGGAACTTCGACGGTTCCTCCACCGGGCAGGCCGAAGGCAGCAACTCTGACGTCTACCTCTACCCCAAGGTGAGCACGGCTGGGCACCCATTTGCAGCTGAGGCGAGCCGATCCAAAGGTCTACCTCCATGCCAGAGTGAGCCGCGGTGGATGCCTGCAACTGGAGGCGAGTGACGCGGTGCCGGATGTCCTCGAGTGCCCAGACAGGAGCAGGACAGCGGCGTGCTGAAGCTGTGTCACGCTTCCCATTGGTGCAGTGATTGGGACGGCCGGTGCAACATCAGCCGCCGACCGAAACCTTCCAGTACAATGCAATATTAAACAGGGCCGTGAGGCGCCGGGTGCTGTCCGTGCCCCTTTCCAGTCACGTGACGGTGTAATGAGGAGGCCTGATCTGACTCCTGGCTGTTCACAGGTGATCTACTCTGATCCCTTCCGCGCCAAGAGCGACAAGCTGGTGCTCTGTGAGACCTTCAAGTATGACAAGACGCCGCATGTTACCAATCTGCGGCACTCCTGCAACCAGGTAACCGGGGTCGAGCTAGGTGGTAATGTTGGCAGGTTTGACCGACCTTCAAACTATTGTAATGCAGCTCATTCGTTTGAAGACACCCGTACCCAGCGCAAACAACGCACCGAGGCAGTGTGGGACCCGGCCGTGCGCTCAACAAGGGCCCGAGATAGATTAGCATTCAGAGGTTTTCAGATCGCCAAAATCAGCCGACCGTGGGTTGTTTTGTTGTTATTCTACACCACCTGTTATGCTACCGTCGGTCTATTGACACATGGATTGTAGCGCGATCTAGATGTATAAGGCGCTGCCTGCGTTCTTGTTGCCCGCAACACTCACAGCATCTCAGACTACCTGCATCAAAATACTTTAAGCGATGATGCAAAGGACGAAGAGCGGAGGTGAAATTATGGGACGAATACAATTTAAACCGTTAGGATCGTTTCGAAGTTTCCAGTTATGCGGTTTTTAGCGCAAGGAGACACTTGTGATTTCAAACGACGGCTACTCTATCCCAGTAAATATAGAATATTGCGAACTTAAGCTTAGTTACACCTTTCTCCAATCATGGCGTCGCACCACTATGGCTTGCAGTACTGTCACGGGGCTTCTGCATGACAGTGGTATTAACAATCTTCCATAGCCCGGAGTTAGCCTTCCGTACCATGACATTTGCCCATACAAATGCCACATGTTTGCAAAAAATGTGCCGTTATCAAAAGCATAACGGTGTCTGGATCAAGCGGGAATACCATAACTTCACAATCCAAGTTTCAAAAAAATGTCGGTTAACCTTTGGAGCAGAATTTCTCTCTTCCTGATGATTGCAGTTAACTACGAAAATACTTTTTAAAAAATCATGCTGTTAGCAATGTCGTCCCATTCTCGTGGGGTTTAGAAGCAAACGCGAGACTGACACGGCTCTTTGCCCTGACAGGTGATGACCGAGGTTGCCAGTCAGCACCCCTGGTTCGGCATGGAGCAAGAATACACCTTGCTTGACCTGGACCTGCACCCGTTCGGGTGGCCTAAGAACGGATTCCCGGGACCGCAGGTTTGTGTGGCAGCAGTCTTGGACATTGTGTTACGCACTGAGCCAGTCCCGACACCTTTCAGTTGGCCGTTTGTCGTGAAAGCATTGCTTACGACCTCAGTGCCGACGCCGACGATCAGTGAGAGTTGTCTCTGGTGCAGTGGGTATTTGTTAACAGCACCTGCTACTATCTGAACAGTTGGCAGGCGGTAAATGTTCAGCTAGGAGTGAACATCATTTTCACAGCCCTTATCAACAATATCACACTACGTCAGGCCAGATAGTCTCGGCCTAACAGATCCGCGTGTGTTCTGATGTAACACCCGCGGACCTATTCTACCAGATCCGCGGGCGTTATGGTGTAACACCTGCGAACCTGTCATCTACCGCTCCTCTGTAATCGGTGCCATGTGAGATGTGCCCAGTGGATCCGAATCGACATCGATTGCTTCTCTTGGAACGTTTGTGAACTCTACGTACGCAGTGATGGATCGTATCCGTGTTGAGTCATTATTTGTGGTTTCCATCCGCCGTACATCTCACCTGACCAGAACAGAGGCGGCAGGACCGCACTGCCGAGCCTTGACAATGGCTCAGCAGCGCGGCCGTGTTCAATTGAAAGATGTGTTCAGCATGCTCATATTTTGGAGCTGTGCCAATGGCAGCCGATACTGAGTTGGTGCCGATGGTACTGAAACGGCGCGTTATCAGTCAGTGCACGGCTGTCGGTGTCAGTACGTGTTGAAATGCATTAAGCGCATGGGAAGCTGGTACCAGTGACTACACCACTAAAACCTTGTCGGATCCGTGCCGGTAGGCGTGCATATTGGCTGGTGCCGGTATCCTTTTGTATGCAGGATCATTGTAACAATTCACCCAGCGTTACGCCTCACATCACATTTACAACGTTGGTACGTACTGCAGGGCCCGTACTACTGTGGAGTTGGCGCCGACAAGGTGTACGGCCGGGACGTTGTGGAGAGCCACTACCGCGCCTGCCTCTACGCCGGTGTCAAGATCGCAGGCACCAACGCCGAAGTGATGCCCTCTCAGGTCAGCTCTAGGTTGGATCAGAGGTCGCACTCGCTGCTCATAGGGGCAGCAAAGCGGCGATTATCCCGTCGTCCCCACCTCTTGTCACTGGTCGAAACACGAACATGCTCACGATGACCCTCGGTGCAGCGGTGCGTCCGTCCGGACGACGTCGTGATGCTGTGGTAAGACGACGTCATCGTGCGGTGCCCTGCTGGTGCGAGGCTGCGAACGTACGAGGCTGCGATCGTGGGCACCGCACGCACCTGCAATCTCGAGCGTGTTCCTGTCGTCCGGGGGTCAGCCCAGATATAGAGGACGGGCAAGGGCGGAAAGGTCGACAGATCCAGATCGAGTTGGAATTTGTGCCTAGGGCTCGTTCCGGAAGCGGACGCTGTCAGCGGAGCCGCCACGAACTCTGCTGGGCTCCGCGGGAGCCAGCCTGGGCCGTCGCCCGAAAAGCCAACGTTATGTAATGACAGTGGTTGCGTAACAACAGGTTTTCCCCTCGGGATGCCGGTCCAGTCACGGTTCAGTGTCGAAAGTGTCACGCGGTTAAAACAGATCACTCTAGGGTTTCGTAATTTTTACAGCGATAGGTGTGTGTTGGGTATTCCCGCGCTGTGCATCTGATCTTCCTCTCCGCAATAAGATGTTTGTCTTCTTTTGCATGATACAGAGGTGTTCACGTTTTATTTAGACCTACGTTTACTTTTTGGTAACATACTTCGTCCATGCATCCATTCTACCGTCCCTCCGCTCCAGCCCCACCTGCAGCTTCGTGTGAGCACCAGGGAATCTGCCTCTAACTCGGAGTTACTCGCGTTCACAGTGGGAGTTCCAGGTGGGTCCCTGCGAGGGCATCCAGATGGGCGACGACCTCTGGATGGCGCGCTTCCTGCTCCACCGCACCGCCGAGGACTTCAGCATCGTGGTCAGCATGGACCCTAAGCCGATTCCGGGCGACTGGAACGGCGCCGGCTGCCACACTAACTACAGCACCCTTGCCATGCGGGAGAACAACGGTATCGCGTGAGTGCCGCACTGTCGACGCAGCTTCTTCCGTCTAACAGCTACCTTCCACCTCCGTCTGTTCTCACCATGCTGCCAGGCGTCATCGTTAAGTTATTACCGCGTGCATGAATAATTAATTAATGGTGTGTTTAAAATATGAAGCGACATGAAAAAACGAAAAGATCGGTAAAAACAGAATAATATAAAAATAAGGCAAGAGAAAACTCAAATAGAACAGAAATTTCATACTTGCTTGGGTAACGAAAGTGCTTTCACGATATTGTTTCGACAGAAACATTTAAAAAATGACTTCGCGACTTTAGCACCGACAGCGTTTATAAATCATCGTTCGTTATCACAAATGGAACAAGTGTTAACAAACGAAAACACAACATGGGCACACGAATGCACAATAAGCGCACGAAAGCCTCTAAGTCATCGTTCCATTTTTCCACGTGCATGAATTTGTTCAAGTTAACGTCTGTGTTCTGGCCAATGCTTTGTGCTGTACTTTCCAACGGCTCGCCCATTCGTAACCTTGCCACCAGAATCATAAGTGTCCCCAGTGTTTTATGTCGCGAGATGTGCGCGTCTTGACGCTGTGCCTTTTCATTTGATTTCATCACGTACACAAGCACAATTTCTGTTCGTATATCGACACATGGAAGCTGCACTTTTTCCGCGCCAGACACCGGCGGGAGCTTCAGCTGGCCTGTTCCCGTGATTCACGCCAACGTGTATCCCGCTTCATTCAGCTGCGTAAAAACGATTCCCATCGCTCCGTTTTGTGCGCAGCCTCGAGGGGTGGCCTGCTGTGCGTCTGTGCGTGTCCTTGGGCCTGTTAGCCGCGCACCGACGCGTCCGGACGTCTGGGAGGCGTTCGTCGTGATGCGGCGTCCAAGGCCGCCGCTCGCGCCCGCCTCCGCCGCGTCCAAGGCCGCCGCGCCGTTGCCTAATTTGTCGGCGGCGCGGCCAGTGACGGAATAGCACAGTTTCGCCCGGGGCGCGACGGCATGGTAGTGCCCCGTGCGGCGGGCTGTTGGAAGCAGTGCAGTATCATTGCTAGATAGCTAATTGTTAAACAGGAACCGATGGACGATCGTGGCCGAAATAATCGCCGCATTTTTTTTGCCGGCCTCTTTAAGCTTTGTACTGTATCATCATCTGTGCATATGTGCTTTATCTGTAAGCATTATGCAGATACACACACACACAGGCACCCGGCCGCATGGACCAGAATAGTTAGTAAGGCAAGAGAATTTGACTGCAGGAGCCCTCCCCGTAAGCCTGCCAGGCTGGGAGGTACCCGGCATCGACTGTGAAATATGCGCCCCGAAGTTTGTTCTTTTGTGCGCTCCTCGGAGAACCTTACCTGGTGCGAGATTAAACAGGGTGACGCTTATCAGTCAGTCCCCTACACACGGGGACGGGGTAATTCTTTCCTGAAGAATTGCTCAGCCTTTGAAGGATTTGAGCTCGATCAGTCGCTGGAACTGCCGTTATCTGAAGGTGTCTGCATTAGAACCAATTTTGTTCTGATCTTTGTGCCTTAAGAGGTACTTAGTGTTCCACCAAGCACGCAGTCTCGTAATTCAGAGTGCAAGCTATGGATAAGTAACAAGGATTCAAGGCCTCACGCACGATTCCATCCTGTATAAGGCCGGCGCCAACGTCCCCAGGGGCTTGGAATTAATTACATCCTGCGGCCTCGAATCTCACTGCCTTTTCTGAAATCTGATATCAACAAGGACAAGACCGGTGTAGCTGAATAATCACAAAGTTTTGTGATCGGGAGGAATGCAAATTTACATGTCTGTATGACATTCGGTAACAGGAAACAGCGCTTCGGCAGATCCGGTGTTATTGTTTGGAGGTCACAACCTCATTCACTGGCGTGGTACAACTCGCACATGGAGGCGCCGGCTTCTTGAGAATTGCTGCCATCTGGAAGATGAATCAAGGCTGGCATATGGTGCTGTTGGTGGAGAGAGAGAGAGAGAGGAGAGGAGAGAGCGAGAGGAGAGAGAGAGAGAGAGAGAGGAGAGAGAGAGAGAGAGAGGCGAGAGGAGAGAGAGAGAGAGAGAGAGAGAGAAGAGAGAGGAGAGAGAGAGGAGAGCGAGAGAGAGAGAGAGAGAGAGGAGAGGAGAGAGAGAGAGAGAGAGAGAGAGAGAAGAGAGAGAGAGAGAGGGAGGAGAGAGGAGGGAGAGAGGAGAGAGAGAGAGAGAGAGAGAGAGAGAGAGAGGAGAGAGGAGAGGAGAGAGAGAGAGAGAGAGAGAGAGGAGAGAGGGAGAGAGAGGAGAGAGAGAGAGAGAGGAGAGAGAGAGAGAGAGAATCGAGCTCGTCGGCTCCACATATGACATGACGCCGGACAAGCAAATAATTCGTTAAACCTTGAACCACAATGAATCTCTTCGCTGTCAATTTGCGACCTCGTTACTAGTGAGCTAGCGGAAGGCTGAAAGGAAATGCCACTTACCTGATAAGGACGTCTCTGTTTGCTTCATCCTCTTTTCTGTCACTCTTTATGACCTCCTTTCTGTCGTTCTCTATGGCGCAAGAAACCAGCCAACACCGAAGGTGTGTTAGCACAACCGTTCAACCAGGTACTTTTCCTACAGTCCCATAAGGTTCACATGGTCAATGTAGGCCTGCTTTTCACACAGCTATAAACCGAATCATATTCCGCTGAAGTTGTTTGATAGCAGCTAAAATATTCTCTCGATGCAAACATTGCACATCTCATTGAGAGTTTCTTGCAATACTTTTTGACATATTATTTCATTAAGTTTACAATACATTCACTATTGGCATTTGCGCCACGCCGCTTTCAGTTGCAGGTTGTCAACTGTTGAGTGTAAAACCATGTGTTGAAAATGTGAAGTGTTTAGGTGCGAGCCTTCACTGCACATCTAGTGCACTTCTAGCATCATACTGCATTTATGTTCTAACCTCCGCTCTACCTGGCATCTTTTACACAACCTGACAGACCGCCAAGTTTGAACAGCGTGACATGACAAACTGAGCGAGATGTTTCTGTGGTTTCCGCCTGAAACGCCAGAAACTCACGCTATCTACCAAGCTGGCTGCAGAGCATGGCGTGTAACCAATCCAGTGACGTCACTGATCTTCCGTTCCCCTTGATTCCAGTGCTATCGAGGAGGCGATCAAAAAGCTGGGATCGGTTCACGATGACCACATCAAGTGCTACGACCCCAAGGGAGGTTCTGACAACGCCCGCCGGCTGACGGGGCTGCACGAGACCTCGGCCATCACCGACTTCTCGGCAGGTCAGGACCAAACACGGCTCACCATGCCATCGGCCAGTCACTGATCATATCGGCCGCGACACCGGCCTCTAAGCCTTGTATGAAATGGGATTATGATGGACAATGTCCTCAGGACAGGAGCGACCCTCCACTTACGTCGCTCCTCGTTCGTCTGTGATGGCACGCGCCCCGTGCGTTTGCAGGCGTGGCCAACCGCGGCGCCAGCATCCGCATCCCGCGTCAGGTGGCCGAGGAGGGCAAGGGCTACCTGGAGGACCGGCGGCCAAGCTCCAACTGCGACCCGTACGCCGTCACCGAGATCATCTGTCGCACCACGTGCCTTTAGAGCGGTCACGCGGCGTCCAGGACGGGGCCGCGACCGTGACGGCGTGAAGAGCGAGGCCAGGGCCTTAGTGGGTGGATAGTAGGTATATGACGTGGTATATGCCACACCTTGTTGAGTGGATTTCTATACGGATTTACCCTAAGATCAAACTGCTCAGGGTTTGTTGACATTTATGCCTCTTATTCTGTTAAATATTGACTTACTTGTTTGGTGCTGTGTGTGTGACAGTTGCATAACCATTTACATCCGGTTGTCGACGCTCATATCATATGCGTATGCGTTCTGTTAACTCGTTCGTAAAGAATGACCACCATCTTTACCATTTTGAATCAATATACCTCAGGCTTATATCTCAGCGTTTAGTCAGCTTCTTTTACGATCAAAGATGATGTTCGAACTCAGAATAAAAATGGCTTTCTTTCCTTGCCACCGACTACCGGCTAAAACCTCCAGTCACTGAAATGGCAGGATGCGGTCCGCAAATCCTGGACTTCAAAAAGCCCCTCCGATCGTCATAGACTCGACAGATTTTAGGACCGTAATGCCGTAAGGTCCTTTCGCGACGCGAAACGAGCATCACTGACTGAAGCACTACCACCATGAAGAGACTCGGAAAACACAATCAAATTGAGTTAGTCACTTGAGGACCCGCACGAACAAACGTTCAATGCATTGCATTATCCCCCGTCCATGAGCTCAGCAAGCTGTTCTGAGCGGATACCTGTGCACAAATCAGCCAATCGCAAGGTGAAAAACGATCAATGGCAAATACAGGATGGTGCTTTTTATTATAAAATGAGAAGGCTAAACAAAGGGCAAGCTCTCGGCCTCAAGCCGCTACAAACAATAGCTTATTTTAGCCCTTTGCAATGCTCGTATGACTTCCCACGCTTAGAGTCTCTTCAGTGACCAATTATGGAGATGTGCGGACGTTATTCAGCACCAGGAATAAGCCAGGAGATGTTTCAGCTTATGCGGTCAAAGTTCATTGCGCACGTTCATTGACCAATTAGCGCAAGATAATTTACGTTTCCAGTCCTTTTTCCAAAAGTTTTTTTTTTTGCGAGCTAGAAGCTGCATTCGTAAGAACGCCTGTTGCGACGCTTTTCTCCAGGCTGGTTAAGTTAGCCAAAACATGAAGTTTGAGGTCATCATGATTCCGCTAGCTTGGCGAACCTTCTGTGAACGTGTAATGCGCTACTTGGTTCCCATGCGATGCTATTGGATCACAAATGCAACGCCGGTCAGTGCAAGTGCAGTTGTCATCCAGAAGTCTTATCTGCCAAAGCCTGATCTGCGTTAAGTCATGCTGTGGCACGCCACTAGTGTACTTGGTTTTTGACGGTGTTATATAATCACGGTGTTTATGAAGGTATTTTTAAAATTTATACATGTCTCCTCTGCCGATTGAAAGCCTCTTGTATGTAGGAAGGGATCTTGGCGTATTTTAGGCCAAGGTGACCGTCAGGCCCGATTGAGGGGATGGATGACTCATCTGGACGTCACAAACTCCACCCTCCAGCTGCGGATGCCAGATGTGAGAGGATGGACGACTCATCTGGACGTCACAAACTCCACCCTCCAGCTGCAAATGCCCGATATGAGGGGATGGATGACTCATCTGGACGTCACAGACTCCACCCTCCAGCTGCAGAGCCCGACGGCTGAAAGCATGGGAGTCTCTGTTTTTCTCACTCTTCGGTTTTCTCACCGCTCTAGCGTCCTCTCTACGTTCAATTTATTCCGTTATCATCTTCGCATGTAACTTAAAAATTTTGTTCAATTTCTGTCCGTTTTCAGCTTATGTGAAGAACAACTCAATTTTTCGAACTCCTTGCCACACCCATGATTTAGTAGCATGCATGTTGAAAGATACTAAGTCAGAAGTTCAATTCAATTTTGTTGCAGACCTGCGCCTGGTGTCCAACTTCAGTTCCTAGCTCAAACTGGTTCTTCAAAAAAACCCTGGATCTCGGTTCCAACTGTTTTTTTCGAAAAAGACAACACCCTGAATCCTGGTTCCTGCTAGCTCTTTCGACAAATCAAGATCCTGGTTCTTGATTCTCACTGTTTCTTTCCACAAAAAACCTGGATCCTGGTTCCCAGTGGTTCTTTCGGCAGCACACAACCCTGGATCCTGGCTCCTGCTGGATCATTCGACAAACCAGGACCCTGGATTTTGGTTCTCACCGGCTCTTTCAGCCAAACATAACTTTGGATCCTAGTTCCCATTGGTCCATTCAAATCAGCCAAACCCTGAATCCTGGTTCCCTCTGGTTCTTTAACAAACTATGGGCCCGGTTTCTGGTTCCTGGGTTTCATTGGTTCTTATGAAAACACTGGACCTTGAACACTGGTTGTCTCGGGCTTTGTATAAGAAGACGTTGACTCATGGCTCTCGCTACAAAGTCATGCTAGTCACATAGAACATCCCATGTATTTTTGCTTTAACATTTAAGTCATACACCACAGGCAAGTCAACCAATTCACAGCCTGCTACCACTTCTGCAACTAACAATGTTTAACTGCTAGTTGCAGGTCATTTGCCTACAGCTAGGAAGCGAGTTCGCGACAGCTTAAGCTACCGCACAGGATGGCTAACAAATTTCTGCTTTCACACCACATGGAAGTCACGCACCGCAGGCAAATCAAACAGCATGGCCTTGTACCACCATTACGACCAATAAAGCTTTACGGTTAGTTGGGGGTCTCTACCTGCAGCTTGGAAATGAGTTCTTGACAGCTGAAACTATCACCACGGATCCACCAGAGATCTACGTATTTACAATAGAACAGTCATGGGTCACACAGCACGGACATGTCAGCATGTCTTGTAAGCATGTCAACAGTCAGTATGCCTTGATGCCACCACTACCACTAACAACGTGTTACTGTCACTCGAAGATGATAGCTTAACATTAACAAATGGGAACCTGGGAGCTGAAACAATGAGCTTATCATTGCAAGATGGTAGGGGTGTCAATTATGAATGGTGCACTGATCAACCGTATTGGGATCTTGCAATACCCGACTAGATTTCGAAGTAATGGAGACACTGCTAGACTTACAACTAATCGGTCGTCAGTGTCTCTAAATTCCTGTCAGGGCTGCAGTTGCCAAATTGACAACAGTTTTATCTATTTAAACTTTTTAAAAAGAACCAGTGACCTAGTTTATCCCACGAAGTACATGTTTTAGGTCATGCAGGCGCTGTCCGGTTTCTGTTGCTTTAGCCAAAACAGGCACTAACGAAACAGACGGGGTAATCGATAAGTCCAAATTATGTCCGATACCGCCGTCATTTTATGTGGTATGACGTGTGTTCTCTGGTCTCGTTGCTAAGATGCTGTCATGGAAGCTTGCAGTCACCTTTGTTTGTGGCTGTTGAGAGCTCATTGGGATGCAAAAGAGCTTCCATGATAATGACCGGTAAGAGAGGGCATGGCAGCAGGCGCAACATGAGGCAAAGAAACAGTAATTTAAGTGAATCTGGGCTTCTTGTGATAAAGAAGCAACTCTCCATGTCTGCAGACATTCCACAAACCAGCCTTGGAGGAAAGCTTATGGTGCAAAGTGCCAAAAGTTGATGTTTGAGCCAGATGCACAATACTACATCTGTGCAAACAATGTAAATGGTCAAACTTACCCAACGACATTCTCCATGTTTCATTCCGTAAAGTGCGGCAGATGTTTGGAAGATCTCACTATTGCAGGGTTGCATCAAACAAATGAAATTCGGAACGCCCTCTGAAATGGGTACACTGTTTCCATTCATTTGTATCGATTGTAAAGAACGCCCGGGATGTAGTTTCATGCTGTCGGGTCACCTCAGCCATCCCAACCGTAGAAAGGAATTTAAACCCTGAAAAGGGCCAGGGCAGGCTTCACCGTGCGGGCCACAGTACCGGAAGACTGACATCGCCCAGCCGGACGCCTGTTCTGCACACCGGCAGTAGACACAGGCCTCGACGCTCGGGCCACTGTAAAGGCAGACTGGCATCGCCCAGGCCAACACCTGTTCTGCACACCAGCATTAGACACAGGCCTCGACGCTCGAGCCACGGTACGGAGGGGTTGACATCGCCTGGACGCTACCCCAGCATCCTGTAGCCTTCCTGCAAAACCAGCTGGGGGTTGGAAGATGACGCCACGGGTACTGTCACCTGAAGAAAGGTGGCGGCTCGCCGGCGGTAGAGGTCGCCAAAGAGAGCTGTTTTGTTGCGTGCGCGACGTCCTATAATGCAGATCGGGGGTAATAAACCGAACAACAATCGTAATGATGGGAGATGATTTTGTCCACGTTTATAAACTCATCTGTAGAGTATATGAAACGTGCCCGGTGTAAACCGTGAATTTTTTTGCAAGCGTCTGTGCTCAATGCATGGTAAGACCGACTTATGTTTTGTCTATTTTTCTTATTTATCGTTTTCCTTGTGGCTCCAATTTGCCCATTTTTTAGGTATTAGGCTCCCTCGTTGAGCAAAAATAAAAGACAACCGTAGAGCAGGGGTAACGAATGGTAGCGTGGAACACATCCCAGTAAGCGCTGTCCAGCAGGCCGTATCCAAGGTAAATGTTCTTTTCACAGCGTGAATTCCGTTAGCTTTAATGTTGGGTACAGACAGTTTAAAAGACAGCACTGTCCGTAAATTCATCGTCCCCTCACAAGTGCCCGGGAGGCCGGTTAAAAGCTTTGCGATCAGCTGGGAGTGACTGAAATATAAAATCTAAGACAGCTAGACACCCCACATTTATAGGACAGATACATTTAATTTAAAATTATTTACACCAGCTTCCGAGGCCCCTGGATGATGAACCTCGCTTTAATGTAGATAACTTTTGCAAGCAAAAGGTCACTGGTGTTTACATCAGGCATGCAGCCTTGTTTAATCTTCAGACGATCAAGATGACCAAAAACAGTTGAAATGGTCTTGATATTTTAATGACAAACCGGCGCCAAGAACTGCGCCAGACAGCATGTTTCTCAAATCACGAGATTGATTGGGATAGTTTTAGGTCATTGACCTTTATCAATCGTCATTAAGTTGACATAAGATCTCTGTTTAGGTCCTTGCGGTGACAAAAAACTACTTCATTTCCCAAATCTATTCCGTCGAGGGAGCAGTTTAGTTTTTACCGTGACCTGACCCTCATACCTGAGGCAGGATCAATGGAATCAAAACTTAATATGTTTGTTGTGATTTGGTACGTGGGTTTATAATCCGTATTAACAGCCGGAGACAGAGTTATCTGCCATGTGAGTGGCACCACTGGCACATCACACCAGTTTCGAATTCCACTTGATGATGCAACTATGCACAATTTATTTAAGGCCTGATCACGCTCGATG